GTGTTTTAAATGCTCTGTCACTATATAAGTGCTAATTAATCATTACTGAAAGAGATTTGAGGCTTCTGCCTTGGGGTAAGTCAGCGTAGCTCCAGTGAAGTCAATGGAGCTCTACTGAATCATGCCTGCTAAGCTTCTTGCCCTTTCCATCCAAGTTTCTATAGCTGCAATCCACTGGTATTTGCACTCAGGGCCTGTGCAGCTGCTTTTGGTTCAATTGTGTGTGTCTGTGATTAAATATTCCACTATCAATTAACCATTAATGCTGCCTAGTGATGATTTAAAATCTGGCAGGAGAGTTATGGTACACACTGAGTTGTTTAATGCTGGGAAGCAACATGCTTCCCATTAAATAACTGTTCCCATATATTTGTTCATACAAGGGTTTCCCCACCATTTCTGAATGCTTTTCTTCCCCATTAGACTGCTGTGTGTCTAGGCATTTGCTTAGAGCCTACCACTCTCCTCCCATGCTGTGCTATCAACCATGAGGGATAGTAGTGGCTTTGGGGCAGTTGTACAGACTTGGGACCATGTGCATGCAGAGTTGTGATCAGAAATCGGTAAAGTCCCACAGGACCATTTGTACTGCTGTAAGGGCCAGGGGAGGCTGCATTTTAGAGGTGTGTGAAGTCAGAGGTGGTGAGGACCTTCCTGATTTTAAAGGGAGGCTGAGATCTTCCTTGTGGGGAAGAGATGAACTGAATATAAAACATCAGGTCAAGGTATTTTCACATTTTGGCTCCCAATTGCACAGCTGGCAGGAGTCATGCAGTAACACGGCAGAACAGAACGGTGGGCCCAGAGCTGTCTACTGCTAATTTTACAAACAAAGTGCTTTCGTGATGCAAGGCCAAAAAAGGCTCGGTCAAAAATGCAGTGAAGCCAGAGATTCCCATAGGCTCTTTGGCTTTTAAATGAGGAGAATAAAGTTTGCGTGCAATCGCTTCATGCCACAGAAGCTTCGAGCCCCAGGGTGATTATAAGTAACAATAGCATCCACACATTAAATGCCCCCTGCTCATCCTGAAGAAATATCTCTCCTTTGGGCCGTAGGTGGGTGTCAGGTGTAATGCAGATGTATAACCTGAAGTTACATCTCTGTAAGCAATTAAACTAATTAAAAGGCAAGGCCTTTATTTTTCCTGAGCCAGATTCCATTAACGAAGCCCCATTTAACTGGAATCAATTCAAAAAAATAACTTTAATTGCTTAAATACTCTTTATGTGGTGTTGAAAAAGCAATTTGACGGTGGGATTTTAAATGCGCCTCACCTGTTGAGAAGTTAATGTGTTCAAAAGTGCCAGTGAAGGGGGGATTATTGCTCTTTGTTCTAAAGAAGAGAGAGGAAATAAGAAGAATCCTTCTGATTGATGTGCAGCCTCGCGATGTAGCACCGCTGCCTCTTGCTTGCTGCAGCCTAACCAGAAAGATGTGCAGCCCTGTGCAGCTAACAGTTTTGGAAGGGAACAAGCTGATGGCTTTGTGAGGATCCTACATGCTTGGGTCATTTCATGGCTTTGTATGAATGGTCACACACATATAGGAACATGCTCACATATCATTTGTGCCATTCTTTCTTGCAGTGATTTAGTACCTTGCTAGGCACACAGACCCCGTGCCTTACAATGGGGACTACTCATGTACTAAAATGACTGTTTCCTCTTAGTAAAGGTGGTAGAGAGTGTTCCTCCGATTCCAGCCCTAAATGCATGGGCTGTTTCAGAGAGCAGCTCTCTGTTATGTGTGAATAGTGTCTGGCTCTGTAAGGCCTTGATCCTTGGTTGGTGCTCTTGCAGTGCAAGCCCTAAATCACGATCATGCTCTTCAACAGTAGTTGCGATCTCTTATGGTGCTGCACGGGAGCCTGTCTTGTGATGTGACACTTAAATAATGCTTAGGCTTCAAAATAAAAAGAAAGGAAGGGAGATCTGAAGAAAAGCCGGAGGAGCAGCAGGTTGTATTCTCTAGGGTCCTGGCCATGCATTTGCAGTCAACAGCTTTTAAGCAGTTGCTTAACCTTTAAGCCTGTATGTGATCTGCTGAAGTCAGGGCCTGATGCTTTGATTCCCAGGATGATTAACTCCTTCAAAATCCTGTCAGTGCCTTAGATAAAAACACCCCGCAGTGATGATTATAGAGCATTCATTGTAGGACATGCACAAGGCCAGATTCGCATCACCTTGCATCTTTCATAGTATTTGACAGCAATCTCTACCATCACTTGCTGACAAATGGATGCCATATATACACACACACACACACACACACACACACACACGTGTGTATATATATACACACACCCCCACCCCCACGGTACAAAACACTATCATTCCAATTTAGTTGCATTTTCCACTTACTCTGCACTCATGTAAATAATAGCACAAATTGAAATCCTCAAGGGGTCCTGCCTGTTAATTGGTTTCAGTAGATTGGTGGAATAATAATTTATTAGACTATGTATACCAATAGGTATCTAGCATTTATCTTTATGGTTAGAGTCCAAGTTGGAAGTCAACAGAGAAATAATCACATGCCAAAATGTAAGCATTTGCAGAAGTCGGTGGCTGATTTGGAAGTTGCCAGACCCAGGCATCAAAGGAGTATGTACATACAAATTAAATGTGCCGACGTCTGTTTTGTTAAAGGAGGGGGGATTGGGTTGTTATATAAGGCAATTGGTTTACCTGCGATTTCCGGCATTACAAGATGAAAATTTGGCCCAGCGTATGTTAAGATTATTTCTAAGAAGTTGGATCATGGATTCAGAATGCACAGTAATAAATATTGTAGCCTTTGGGGGTAAGATTATTATGTTTAAACCTGTGCTGTCATAGCAACCATCCATAGGAGCTTTCTAAAAATTAGTTTTAGACATCCCTTGTTTGATCTGGGCTCAAAGAATATTATGTTTATGCCTATTTATTTAGAAAAGTTTTAAATTAAATTGGTTCAGCTGTCTTGGAGTTATCCAACGGTGGAAAAATGCCATACATGATTCATTTATATAACATCCCCCGTCTCAAAGGACTTCACAAAAATCAAATGAAAAATAATCAAGTGCCTGGGAAAAATCTTCACAATTAGTGAGAGAGAGACATTTTCAGCCACGGTTCATAATTATGCAGAATTGTGCCACACGTGTAAAGACTAAACTTGGTTTAAAGGCTGTACGGTAGGTGGCAGAGATGCATTAGTTATGCAGCAAAATCATCTCGCTGCTTCATTAACAAAAGAATGAGAATATACTGATGTTTCCCCATCATTAATAAATACACAATGTAGTGCTATCCTGACACCCTGCTGTTTGCTAGAAGAAAGGTTTGAGTTAACTTGGTGTGTTGAATTGGTGAAGGACTTCTTGATGTTGGTCTGATTATCAGTTCTGTTGTTGGAAATGACTGGTTATAAAGCTGGAGGCATCTCAGAGAACTAAATTGATTTACAGGATTCATTTCCCCTCATCCAGAGCAGAATTTGTTAGAATACAAATGGTTTTTAAATAAATGACATATTCTTTAATAAAATATTGTAAATGGGTTTGGTTAAGAGTAATTGGATTTCATAATAGCTCCTATTGAGGAAATGTTTGCACTGCTGTAGTTAATGCTACTCGTGTATATCACAACTCAAGGGTGCATGCAACATATGTAGCTAGTTACTCGTACCAGCCAGTAACTTATGAAGTGTCTACTTAGCCAAAAGTTGTGTGTGCGCGTGGGTAGTTGTATGCAATTATTAAAGCAAACAGCATAACATTAAGAAAAAAGTTGGTGGGATGACTAGCAGGTGAGCTAAAATATTGTTAATGGGCTCTGGAGCATTTTGTCCCAACTTCGAGGCCTTGACTTTCTTTGCTGTGGCACATAAGACATCACTTCTGGATACTGTTTGGTGGCCTCTTTCCCACTCTTCCCACCAGTTCCCCCCCCGCCTCCAATTTAAAATCAGCTTCTTCGTTATTAGTCTCCACCAAATGGCTAGGAATTAAATTAAAATAGAAATCAAACCAACCTTACCTGCCGGAGAAGCAGCTCAGCTCTTGGACATGATGGCTCTGTAACTTTCTGTGCTGCTCCTAAACTTTCAAATGTTCACATATTATAGAACCCTAGAAAGTCTGAGGTCATGAACAAAGCGATCCCAGCTTAGGATCCTGGCACTTTTGCTGGTCTGGTGATCTTCGCAGGGGTGGGGGTGTTTCTCTCTAGGGTCATTGTTTGCCAGCTTCAGGTCCTTGCACCCAGAAGATGGTCTGCCTTCTTCAAGCTGCTAAATTCGTGTGTGGCTCCTATGTTTTGTGCCATTAAAAGTAAGAGAGAAATGGAAAGAAGTCTAAATAAGAATGGAGCCCTTGTGATAGAAAATGGAAGGGGGAACATAAGACGTAAGGAAAACATTGTTAATGGCCAGCTTGGAAAAAGCAATTCTGAAATATTAACAATCGTCCCCATTTATTTCAGACAGCAGCATTCTGAAATCAAGTCCGAAGCTGAAAGAGCAGGAGAGGGGAGCTGAGTGTTAGCTAATCAATGGGCGTCTCTGGGGCAGGATTTTGGAAGTGCTCTGCTTCTTTCCTTAGCTGAGCTATTTGGTTACATAAGGGCAGGGCACCCTTTGAAAAGCATCCCCTACCCTCTGACTGCTGCCTGGTCCCTTGAAGCAGGGATGCTTTTTCCATCGGGTACCCCTTGTTGAATGCATGCTAATCAGTTTGGGGGGCTGCCCTTTCAGCAGTGCTTGATGTGGAAGGTGCTAACATTGTGCAGCAAATCCTGGACAGGCTTTCTAACCACACTTTCTTCCGAGTGGGGCATCATGCAGCCAGGGGGTAATGGTCCCTGGGGATAATGACTCTGCCTTAGGTAACGAGCCCCGAGCCCTGTCTTACCCATGGGTGGTGCTCAAAGAAAGCAACCTGAAGGCCAGTCTTCTGATTAGTCGCAGAAGGTCATTTCCATCTGCATGCGTTTGACTCTTGCCGGTTGATTTCTTACAGGTTTACCGGAATGAATCTGCCTGCCCCGGTAATCAGCAGTAAAAACTGGCTGCGACTCCACTTCACATCCGATGGCAACCACAGGCAAAAGGGGTTCAGCGCACAATATCAAGGTAAATGCTCATTGAGCAGATTGCATCATTAATGGTTTTTAGCACCCTTTCCTTCAGCTGGAGGGAAGCACGGTTTAGGCCCAAAGCTACCCACAATAGGCAAGTTCTGATGTGTCCCTTACCTAGGACATGTTAGCTTTGCCTTCCTAGCAGGCTGCCCAGTTTTGCCACGCAGAGAGCCACCTTGGCAGCTTGCTGAGAGCATGAAAACTTGCACCTCTCTGGCAAATACACCTGCATTTTAGAATTTTTTTTTTTAAACAGAAGTGCATCTCCATTTGCTCCCTTTGCACTTCTCTTGCATAGACTTTATATTGACATCCCGTACATGGGTGTATGTCAGGATGGGTGTCCTATAGTGCCACTGATAGTTGAGATGCTAGCCTCTCCCTCAAGTACCTAGATGCAATTCCCTGCTCTACCCCGGAGGTTTCTGACAAGTCCCATAGTTTTGCTGTCTCATTTTCCCATCTGTAACTCGGGGATAGCAGCTCTGCCTTTTGTTGCAAGGGTTTTATGAGGACAAATACACTAATGGTTTTGTGCCGCACAGATACCACAGTAATGGGGGCCATTTAAATAACTAAGATAAATGGAATGAAATCCACCACTGTAGCTCTGGCATAGCAGGATGCCCCCAGGCTGTGCAGTGAAAAGGCAGGATTAATTGTTAAGAATGGTGATATTATTACATTTTGTTGTGGGGCATTTGTACAGTTGCTAGCAACTGCGGTGCAGGAATATGCTGTGAAAATCAACGAGAGAAGTTAAGGGGGAGAGCGGCAGGTCTTACTTACTTTTAAACTGTCGTCAAGCATAAGCACGTGGTTAGCAGGAAGCTTGCGGAGTTAGATCTGTACTGATCCCAAGACATTGGGGTTTTGCCATTCCTGCTAACTGCATTGCATGTTCTTCCACAGTTTATGAGAGATTCAAGTCAGACAGTCCTCAGGCTTGCCTGATATTCAGGGCAAAGCTGTAGTGCTCAACTCTACCTGTTTACTTCTTAAAAGAGTGATCGTTTCTGAGTGGCAAACTTCCACCTGGTGACCTGGGCTTGACTGAAGCCCAAAGTATCTTTGCCATCGCAGGAACATAATCCTGTTGGAACCTAAAGTCAGTTAAACATCTGTATTGAGGAAGCCACTGGTTTACCTGTTAGCACGTGCTTAGCTGCCATTCAAGCCAAGCATTTTGTGCATGCTCAGGGTGCTCAAAGATGTCCTGATTCAGAGTTGGACTTAAGCATGTGCTTTCTGGAATTGGGGCCTTCGTTAATTAAAACTACCTCCTTTTTACAGATGGGAAACTGAGGCACAGAGAAATTAATGCCCTTACTCAAGGCCACAGAGGGGAAGTCAGAAGTAGAGGTAGGAATAGCATCCAGATCACTAGTCTTGTGATACAGCTTTGAGAAAAAAAACCAAAAAACACTTTTCTTTATTTGTCACCCTAGCAGCCACTCTGGTGGCCTTAATTCAGATGTTGCCTTATGAATCAATTTTAGTTCTTCCTCCAAAGAGTCACTGTGTTGCATATATATATATATATATTTTTTGTTTGTTTGTTTGTTTGTTTCTAACATAGATGACTGCACACCATTGATGACTCTTGATATGACATTTTCCTTCTGCAGTCATGATTGCTGCTTTCTATTAAAACACCTATCTGAATCATGCTTTTTCCTTTTCTTCTTTCAAATAGAAAAATAAAGATTAATGTTATAATTTCCTCTGATTAGATAAATGTCAGGGGAGGGGGTCTAATCTGGCAAGCTCCTTGAAAACTGTTTTGTGAGATATAATGAGCCGTGCTTTTGTATGCAGAGTGCTTAAAGGGTGAATTTAAAAATGCTCCCAAAAGCACTGAGGCAGGACCTCGGTCTAGTGAGCAGAACAGAATGGCCCATCTCTCCTGCATGTACCACGCTGTCAATGAGTGTTTGTGTCACATGTAGCACACGAGAGCCACCGCCACTACTGATGGTGCTCGGTGAGCACCTGTTTTCCCGATCCGCTCAGCACAGAGAGATTCTGTAAGGGGCATTTCGATGAATTTCAAAAATGGATGGACGGAGCACGTGACAAAATTGCAGGCCAACTAAATATGTGCGGGGAGTCCCAAAAACATGGGAAGATCTCCCGGGCCAGGATTTTGTTCCAGATGCTAAATGAACTTCCATGAAACATTCAACAAGCCTTCCAAAGAAATGTGATCTAGCTTTCTTTATGCATAATACCTTGCTGTGTGTGTAGCCTGGTCTACACTGCAAAACAGGTGCAGGCATAGACAAAACAAGGCTCGCATTAATCTAGCTAGTTTAGGAACTTGTAGCAGTGAAGCCACAGAGAGACTGACTTGAGCCACTCGGCATGTGTCCATGGCCTTGGGTGGGCATGCCCTGTCTATCCAACAGCCAACGTGGCTTTGCTGGTGCAGATGCCCCAACCAGTTAGATTCATGCTAAGATGAGTATTATACCTGCTGCAGTCATACCTCTGATAACATCTTGGGCATAGCCATGTGTTTGTACCATTGTAACTCTTACTGGTCTAGAAAGTGGTAGCTCGTCCTAGGATAAAGGTACTGATATCACTACCCAGCTATCACAGCTGCATAGGTTATACAAATGTCTTGAGTTTCTAAACCAGCATAGTGATCATGGTGCAAAGCCACGTGTGCATCAGTCCACAAGCAAAAGAGAGAATGGGCTCATCTACGCATGATGCTACATCGCCGTAGCAATGCACTATGGTGACGTAGCATCAGCAGGCCCAAACTGCGACACTGCAGCGACATCACTGTAGCAATGTGCTCCTTCCTTATAGCATGTGGCTATGGTGATGCAGCTAAAAACGACTGTGCTCAGTGCGCATGGCACATTGGGGGCTGTTACTGTGCTGTCATTTAATACTTCCAAAGGGAGTAGCCATTGAGCACTTGCTAATTTTCTTCACGGGTCAGATCTTTAAAATTAATGACAAAACTTATGAAACGTTGGGAAGTGCTAAATCCAAAGGGAAGTACTAAAGGATGGCATGGTAACAAAGGTGCCGTAGGGACATGTGTAGATGCACTCAGTATCTAGCTACAAAACTAGAAAGAGGGAGAATTAAATAACATCCCCTTTAAATACTTGTAAATACCTAATAACAGCTAGTTTTCAAGTTAGCATCTTGTTCTCTCTGACTGTCTAGCTAGTTTAACACATCTAGGTTTTTGCACTGCACCCTCAGTCATTAGTATTGGAGCTTCGTATAAATGATAAAATACATACAGGATCAGAGATCCTTCCAGGAGCTCTGTCCCATCCTGTAATTGGCATCAACATCTACTGGCTCTTCCCCCTTTTTTTGCACTTTGCTTGGTGTCATGGAGCTCATTCAACATGCATCTTTGGTGGCGCAGATCGCAAACACGGTGAGATCCAAAGAGGCTAGTGACAGAAGCCCCTGGGATGGGAATCTGAGGATTGTTATAGGTCTCTAGGCATCGAGCACTTGCTAATTTTCTTCACGGGTTAGATCTTTAATATTAACGACAAAACTTATGAAACATTGGGACCTCTTTATTGGCTGTATGTGGTGGCTTTGCTAGGGTCATGAGAGCCGACCTCCGTGCTGCAACCTGTTTGTCATACCGGGCTTGCGACATTGCAGAGATCTTGCCCTTGCCCTTGCCCTTGCCCTTGCCCTTGCCCTGGCCCCTGTAATGGAGTAGGCTTGGTGGTCTGGGTTTTTGGGGAGCACTGTGGGGGGCTCGGTGTGAGCAGGCTTCACTGGAAATGATTCGTGGAAATGGCTCAGTAAGCAGGACACCTTTATGCCCTTTTCACCCAACAGTCTAGGCCTAACAGCAGGCTGTTGAGGCTGGTCCCTATGGCATAATGATTCATTGTACTGAGCGAGCATTGTCCCCAGAGTTTTGTTGCAAGTGTGCTGGCGGGGCTTGAGGAGAAAGAGTGAGGCTGTGAAAAAGCTGGAGGGAGGACAAGGTGCTACAGGTCACTGCGGGAGCCAGGTTTCAAAGCCAGAAGCTTGCTCATCAAGAAGCCATGCTAGGGTTAACGTCAGGGGTCCTCTCAAGAGGGGGAAACCAAAAAAGGTTGCTTCTTGGGAAGTCCCGAGGCAGGGCACGAGAGTCCCTAATTGTAGTCCTTAAAACCAATTTTCACAAAACCCTAAAATTGCCCATGTGGCCAGTCTGTTTTTCCAAGGGCACAAGTAACATTTATTAATATCCCCGGAGACTGTATCTCACTTTGCTACGAGACATCCTTCTTCTGTTCCATCTGGTTTAACTTGATACTTAGCTTTTGCAGAATGGGGTGGGGGGTTTTTTTGTTTGTTCCAGTTCAGAAGTTTCTATACATGCCCTAGATTTGACATCTTTCTCTTGTAGAAGCAAAATGACGTGTATTCGTCCCGTGTACATGTTCTATCTGTGTTGATATACGTATGGATAATAAATTCTCCCCTCCCCTCAAAAGTCATCATGTTTTTCCCCTCTCCAGTACCTTTCAGTAGGAACAACCCCCAAATATTTTATAAATATTAATGATATCTTCCAACACCTGGGAGGGAAAAAAAATGAAGCTTCAGAAAACTCAGCGGTGTGATGCTTGGGAGGTACTAGGCACTTACAGCTTTGAAAATTAGGCCACAGATGACATGCCCAACATCAAGGGTGGATCAGGGATTACAACCCAGGAGTCCCAACTCATCATCCTCTGCTTGGTGCTGAATCGCTGAAAATGAGCTAATGGAAAAGCTGCTGAATTTAAAATGATGCTAAGCAGATCTACATAATGATCTGGCTGATGTAGTTCATTTCTCCAGCATATTCTGTATTACATATATAGGATCCTACAGTGCCTTTTATCTGATTGTGACCAACACATAATTGCATCCTATATTGATTTCTACCTCCTCCCCCCGCCCCATAAGAATATGAATGTGGGTCTGGTATCAGCCCTTTCAGGCCGTGGTATCACCTTGAAAGTGAGATAGGCTGTGTCCCTCACTAATGGGTAGATAAATTCTTCTGCAAACAATGCACCAGATCAGGGATGTTTCGGGGATGGTCACTGATTTTTCAGATGCGTTTATCAGAATCGCGGATAACTGGGTTAGGCTGTTAAGGGAATACTGCATATATTGTATTGGTCTGTCAAGCCCACTTTGGACAGGCAACACTCTCAATGTGGGAAAAAAACAACAAAAAAGCAATTCTAATCACAGCAACTGCAGCTGTTAAATCCTGAAGGAAAATTAATTATTGTACTAGCCATTAGAGGATGCAGGACCCCATTGTGCTGGACACTGTGCAAACACGTCGCCGCTGTCCCAATCAGCTTGCAGTCTATGTAGACACAAAAAAAAAAAGGTGTGACCTCTTTGTGCCTTGGAAAAAAGAAATCCCCTCGTTCCCCAACTTTTCCCCTCACCAAAAGTATCTTCCAATATGTAATATCACATCATTACAAAATCGTGAATCAAGCAGTCGCAAAATGGAGCATCAGTATGCTCAGTAACTGCAGGACTGGGAGAGTCAGGGACAATATGGGCACTAGACATGCATTTCTGCAGAAGTATACCTTTTTTATTCATTCAGTGTTTTCTCCCCTTAAATTCTCATTTTAATCAACATGGAGTGGTTTAAAAAAAATGCATCTAATTGTTTTGCTGCTAAAACTTGGGAATGTCACCTTTCAATTTGCCTAGACATCGAGTATTGTGGCAGATCTAGCAGATGTGTTTGTACAGCAAAATCCACCAGAAAACACTTTTGTTTGGCCAATGAGTTTGATGTAATCCTTTTGTGGTACTGCGCCACCTTCAGATCTTGAAGGATATGAGGCTTGGCACAAGATGGGCTTGTTTTTTGTGTGGAGGAGCAGTCAAATTTGCTTTTGTTTCATGTTATCTTTGAAAAAAAAAGAGGAAGAAGGAGGGATCCTTATCTTTTTTGAATTATCTTCCCTTAAATTGGTGCCTTTGTTATTGGTAAACTTTACATCTCTGCAGAAATCACTTGTGAAACTTGACTTACATAATTCTGTCTCCACGTAATGAACAAAATAAAGGATTAGCTGGAAATAATATAGTAATCTTTTTTTTCCCAGTTATTATCACTGAAAGAGGCAGAATGCAATTAGAATAATATAGGGCATAGGATTCATAAGACACAGCACATGACCCACCAGCTAGGTCATGGGAACAGCCTTAGAGGTGTTGCCATAGAGTCTGCCCCTCCAGTGAGGCATTTAGGCTTACATTTTCAACAGCATGCATGATTTTTCTGTATGTAGAGCCCTAATTCAGGACAGCACTTAAAGATATCCTTGCCTTAAAGAATGTGCTGACTCTTA